CACGTGTTAATACTACGAAAAATGAATATATATATATATATTTTTTTATATATATATATATATAAAAATATATATATATATACATACATATATATAGATAAATTATGCATGCATGTGTGTGTGTGTGTATATGTATATTCTTTCTCTCTCTCTCTCTCTCTCTCTCTCTCTCTCTCTCTCTCTCTCTCTCTCTCTCTATTTATTAAACGATGATATTATCAAAGCAGTTTTGTGTTGTAATCTATCTCTTTTCACTATATAACGGACACATTTTGAAAACAAACTATATAAAGTATAGGACGAGTTGCATGTCAGTGATACGTTTCGATCGGTTTCATCGTGTTATAGTACTTCCTTTTTTCTTCTTTCATTTCTTTTTTCTCCCTTTTTTTTTTCGTACCTCCTGTTTCATCCCTTATCGGTGTTATCTCAGTCGTCAGGCACGATCGTCCAAGTGTAGGTACAATCGAGAGTCAAAGTCAGGGATCTCTCGTTGGTTTCTCGGGGCTGCTGTTTTTTTTCCCTCCCCCCCTCTCCACCAGTTCTTTTTTCCTCCTTTCCCTTTTTCTTTTTTCTTTTTCTTTTTTCTTTTTTTTCATGAACATCACCCTCACACACCAGTTTCTAACCATTGGCACAATCGTTTCAGTCTACGTTTCCTACAACAACGAGGAGATATCGTTCGTGTCTCGTGATCCGATAGCACTCACGAAGCTAGGAGTCTCTTTCTCCTAGCTGGATAAGAATAACGCGACGGCAAAAACGGGCATACGTGTAGGTATAACATATCGTATCTACCTACGACTGACAAACACTTACTTGTACATAGCTATGTATATATGTATATATATATATATATATATATATATATATATTTAAATGTATATACATAGTTAGACAGGTAGATGTGTATTATGGACGACACAAAATGGTCGTAGATCGTAACGTTTGTCGATCGTCGCCGAGAATCTAGTGGATCGTAACACGTAAATCGAGAATAGGCGGTACATTGCGTTTGAAAACGTTTGCACCTGCTTATCTCCGCAGTATCTTTATATGGTAAACGTTTTCTATATTTATATATATATATATATGTGTGTGTGTGTGTGTGTGTGTGTATTTGTTTGTGTATATATATATCTATATATATATATAATTATGTTACGAGAAGACCACTCGATCATTATTATGATGTTCATAATAATACCTACTCAGTTATTCAACTTTTCAGTAAAAGAAATTGCTTGGTCTAAGCGTTTTTTTCTTTTTTTTTTTTCCTTCTCTTCCTTTTATCTGCAAATAAATTTTACCACTATCGTTATCTATAGTTTTACGATATAGTCAATTTTTAGAGTTAGATAGTTAGTATATCTTTTCTTTTTTCTTTTTCCTTGTTTTTTTCTTTTTTATTTTTCGTTTAAATTATTAAGTACTATTATCATTATTATCACGTAATAATTGATATTTATAAAAATGTAACATTTAGACACACATACACACATCTAATTTAATTTGAATTGAATTTTATATATATATATATATATATATTTATATATATATATATTTCTTTTTGTAATGATCGTTTCATTGGATCCATAAGAATTATCATGAATTATAGATTTACAAGAGTTGATTTTTTAATGGATTATAATTAATGAAAGATAACCTATAAATTAGTCATAGTAAAATTGATGTTGACAAAATAAAATAAAAATCATATTTTAAATAAAAATCCTAAAGTAAATATCGTATTAACGCGGTGTCTCGAATAATATTGAAATAATTTTGAATCACGAAAGTGTGTCGATTTAATTAAAAAGATATTAATATTAAACGGAAATTAAATCTTCAATAAATCAAATTGACAACTGTAGATGTTTATCTTTAAAGATATTAATAAATCAAACGTTATATACTTCGATAACTATATAAAATTTTTCATTCAATCGGAAAAGAAAGCTTTTTATTTTGATACATAAAAAAAAAAAGGATAATGATATTGTCAATTATAATAAATTTACAATAATCTCCGAGTTTATCTCTCTTTCTGTTTCTCTCTATCTCTCATCTAACAAACTTTTTACCATCCTTTTATATAAATTCTACACAAAATAGGGAAATTACGAAATTGAAAAAAAAGAAGAAAAAAAAAATGAAAAACGAAAAAAAAAACCAAACAAAAAACAAAAGTAAAAAGAAAAGAATTCGCGACTTGTATCAAAGAAGAAGAAATCCTTGGATCATCCTTTCGAACTTAAATAGCGGGAGTCTTAATAAGAAATAAAAAGAAAGCAAGAAGAAGAAAAGGATGACGATGAGAAGTGAAAGAAGCAGAAGAAGGAAGAAGAAGAAGAAGAAGAAGAAGAAGAAGAAGAAGAAGAAGCAGAGGAGAACAAGATGACAAAATGATGATGATGATGATGATGATGATGATGATGATGATGATGATGATGATGATGATGATGAGAAAAAAAGAAGAAGAAGGATAAAGAAGAGAAAAGAAGCAGAGAATCTGGAAGTATGTTCTGCCGATCGGTATCGTCTCGTTCGTGGGTTTTGCGGTTAGGTTGGTTGTAGCGCCATGCTGGCATTACGATTGGTCGATTCTGGAAGGTTTCTGGGCGTGGTTAGAATTCAGAGTGGGGTTTAAGAACAAAGGGTTGGTTATCGTGGATTGTAGGCGGTAACTATGAAGGCTATTTTCTCTCTCTTTCTCTTTCTCTCTTTCTCTCCCTTCTCTCTCTCCCTCTTTCTATTTCTCCCTCTTCCTCTCCCATTCTCTCTCTCTCTCTCTTTCTGTTTCTCTCGCTCTTTTTCTCTCTCTCTCTCTCTCTCTCACTCACTCTCACTCTCACTCTCTCTTTCTCACTTAACTCACTACTACATTGAAGGACAAGCTTCGTTCCGATCTATGCCACGCTCTCGTACGCTACCGCCGGCAGGCCTCGGCAGTACACGAGCCGCTTCTTCGAAGCGAGCACCGCATCGTGTTTTCGCGCCTCGGCCGCTTTCCGAGCGCGAGACGAAACTATACGAAAGCTAATCGACGACGTGCTTCATTATTTCGAGAAAAGCCACCCACCCCCTCCCCTCTACCCCGTATCGACGATCGCGTCATTTCTCACGCTATTTTACATACACCTGGTTGTCGATAAATATATATATATATATACATATATATATATTATATATATATATATACATATACATATACATATATACATATTTATACGTACGTAAATACTTTGATATATTATCTTTGATACATCATCGATACATCTCATTGATAAATACCTCGTGCGTACGTACATTTGGATATCATATATATATACATATATACATATATACATATATACATATATATATATATATATATATATATATATATATGTGTGTGTGTATACATATCTGTATACATATATATTTATATATATTAATAATTTTTTATTTTCGTTGTCACGTTTCCTTCGTTATTATTTTTCTTTTCTTTTTTCTATATTTTCCCTTTTCATTTCTATTTTCTCTTTTCTTTCTTCGTCTTTTTCCTACCTTTATAATCCTACCATTCATTGGACCATTTATTTGCGAATAGCCGCGCAAGCGAGTGTTATGCAAGCGTTGTGTATGAGCCGGGATAGGAAAAAGGAAGAAAAGGAAGAGGAGGACGAGGAGGAGGAAGAAGACGAGGACGAGGAAGAGGAGGAGAAGGAGCGTAGATGAGAGAGAGAGAGAAGAGAGAGAGAGAGAGAGAGAGAGAGAGAGAGAGAGAAAAGATCAAGATCGTTTTTCGTCAAGTCACGTGACGTGCGAGGAACTTCGTCAAGAAATACCAAGTCAAAGTTTTCTTGTTACGAAGGGTTGTCATTGAATGACATATCAATAAACGGATGTTACGTAAATGAATTACGACAATTTTCATTTTGCTAAGTTCTTTTCTAATGGATGATTTAGTGAAAATAAAACGGGAAACTTACGTTCGCGATTTAGTGACCTTACGTTGTGGATCTACGCGAGCCATGAGGATAGAATCTAATCTAATTATCAATGTAATAAGAGAAAAGACAAAATAAATAGAGAAAATACATCGATATCTCGATTCCCATAGTGATTGTTTAAAAAAGTGAGATCGTTCATTAAACGATTGCGACGTCGGGGAAAAACATACAACAGGATGATAATTCGATCGTCTCGCTGGAGGTGGTGGGAGTGTAACGCGAGTTTTTTTTAATAAACATTGTATCATCGGAGCTTGAGCTTTTTCTTTTTTAATTTATCACGTTTTGCGGGGAGGGGGGGTGTGGAAAGATATCGTGAAGTGGTTCATCTATCCTTAAAGCATTTTCATTAATTTAATAAATTAAAAAAAGAAAACAAAGAACAAGGAAATAATACGAATTAGATCTAAGATTCTAAGGATTATTAGAAGAAGAATAAAAAGGAAATAAAAAAAAAACAGAGAGAGAGAGAGAGAAAGAGAAAGAGAGAGGGTGTATCAACGGATAGTAAAACGGCAGCTGCTGGCGAACTATCATGCTCGACGAGTTCCGTCGAGGATGACGTAGTGTCGAGCGGAAGCAAGGGGCGTTACGGTTTGCACGGTGTACGCGCTGGATAGAACCGCCTCGGCGGGGTTAGGGGTGGTTGGGGGTGGCGGTGGAGTAAGTAGTAGCAGCAACAGCAGCAGCAACAGCAATAGCAGCGGTGGAGGAGGGGGAGGAGGGGGAGGAGGAGGAGGAGGAGGAGGAGGGTGCGGTGGTGGTGTAGGTGGTGTAGGAGGTGGTGTAGGTGGTGGTGGTGTCACGGCACCTAGCCTGATAAACGTCTGTGGACCACCCGGAACATCCCTTGCACCGCCGACGGATTACGCGACGGCTGCGGCTGCGGCTGCGGCGGCAGCGGCAGCGGCGGCTGCAGCAGCAGCGGCATGTTATCCCACGGGATCAACGCTCCCACTTTCTACGTCGCAGCAACACTCACAATCACATGTCGTTGATACCACGATGACACCAACGTCAGCACCTGTGCCGACTCCGACATCGGCGTCGGGCCCTAATAATCCTGTCGCCATGAGCCAACTTGGGACCGTCTATGCTACCAAAAGAAGACGACGTAATGGCAAGAGGTTTGTAATCTTTAACGCACTAATGTGCGTACTAATATCTCTAATTAATCGAGAAATGTTCGGGAGGGGGAGAGGGAAAAATGGATAAAGTGATTCGTCATAACGTTCGTATTGGTCTTTGAAATATCGATTTTTCTTTTTTTTTCCTTCTTATTTTTCTCTTTTTTTTTTCTTCTTTTTCTTCTTCCTTTTTTTTTTTGTTTTTTTTTTTTGTTTTAATGCGTTATAATGCACCATCACGTATATAGAATAAAGAGATTAGATAAGTTTAAATGAGTAAAGAACAAATGATTATCCTTTGATAATCATACTAATTCATAGAGAAACGTAAAAACCATAGTAACGTGCAATACACATAAATATAAATGTCGTTCCAATTCAAGGATTCATCGGAACTAATCGTTTTCATTTTTTATTTTTTTATTTATTTATTTATTTTTTTTTTCTTTTTATCCCTCCTTCCCCTTCCCATCAATTCAATTTTACAAACTATAGTTATAGTCAGAGCAGTATAGCAATCGTGTCAATGAAACCAAGAATGATACCGGCTACTCACGTGCAGTTTAATCGTTCGAAGGGACGATAGCACCGAGTATCGTGATCGTCTGCATAAATCATGCGTGACTTCGAAGGTGTTAATGGAAGAGAGAGCTCGACTGCTCGCGCGTAGATAGGTAATTGTATCCATTTAGAGACGTTTCTAAAGACATTAGACAGTCGTTAATCGACGACGACTAACATACGCTAGGTATTCACTATCTACATGATTTTTTTTAATTCTTTCTTTTATTTATTTATTTATTTATTTATTTATTTATTTATTTATCTTCTTTCTTTTTCTTCTTTTTTTTTTTTTTTTTTTTTTAAGGACAACTTCCAATTATTAATTCTGAACGACATTCAGAATCAATCGACGAACTTACGTTTTTTAATATTTATTATTTAATGTCTATGTACTCACACACACACACACATATATATATATATATATATATATATATATACATTTGTTTAATTATTATTAAACCTTATTACTTTGATCGAGCATCAATACTATCAATCACAAATATTTTTTTCGTTTTCTTTTAATAAACATTATCTTACTGAGATAAACAATAATTTTAAAGGAAAAAGAAGAAAAAAAAAAAGGATATTACGTAGTATTTTCTTAACAAAATTTTCTTAGTTAAAATTTATGAAAATCTCTTGGAAGTTGACTGTCGGGCGTGCGCGCGCACCACGAACACACATATACACGCGCTATAATATTTTTGAAAAGGGATAAGTCTTCTCGATTTGACGACAATGTTTGATTGAGTCGAACATTTTTTTTCCTTTTTTATATATATATATATATATATATATATATATATATATATATATAAAATTAATTGACGAACCTGACGATTTTAAATGTTCCCTATCTAAATGTCTTTTTTTTTTCTCTTTTTCTTTTTTTTTTCCTTTTTTCCTCTTCTTCTCTCCTCTCGAACGTCGTAGAAATTTACTCGCGTGATAATTGTCGTTTGAGAAATTCAAGTAATCTACGGCAGGTCGAGTAAAATCCTTTAATCCTTTAGCAACGATATCTACCCATCGTCTTTCTCGTCGGTTTATTATTATCTTCCTTTTATATTTATTGTTATCATACATACGTTTACTTACTCTACGTTCGTGCAAACACGTGCTTCTCGTACGGTCGGTAGAACGAAAGCACGTGCTTTATAAATCGAAGGAATTACACGTACACCCTCGTGCGTATCGAACGAAAGAAGATACGTTCGTGTAGAGTCGGATACTAAAGTTAAGCCGACGGCAACATAATGCGCGCTTGATTACGAAGGAATGGGAAATTAAACGTTGGAATAAATTTTCTAGAAATTTTTTCACCTTGGTTCTATGTTTGCCTCTTTCTCCCCTCTCTTTTCTTTATTTTTTTTTTCTTTCCCCGCCGCCCCCGCCCCCCACTCCTCTTTTCGAAACTGTCGAGATATCAAAACGGGAGGGAGGGGACGATTATATATATATATATATATATATATATATATATATATATATATATATATATAAGAAGAGAAGACATTTCGATCGAAAAATAATTTAAATATAATAATTTTTTTTAAATCAGTTTTAAATCAGTTATATATATCTATATATATATATATATATATATATATATATATATATATATATATATATATGTATATATATAAGAAGAGAAGACATTTCGATCGAAAAATAATTTAAATATAATAATTTTTTTTAAATCAGTTTCGATTTAATTGAACAAAATTTATTTTCTTAATAGCCAAAAGAAAAGATCGATCTTGTTTTATTAATAATAACAATTTTATAAACTTCATTCGTAATAATAAGAACAAATCAATGATGTTACATCGAATTCATTATTCGAAATATTTCTATTTTATTTCACGAACATAGTGAGTAGAATTAACAAGTAACCATCAACGCACGTAAACTACATACTTAGCTACTTATAGACCTAAGTAAGTACTTATTTGCTTGCTTATTTGTTTACCTATGATTGGAACTTTTTTCTTTCTTTTTTTCTTTTTTTTTTTCTTTTTATAAATTTGACTACGTCAAAGAATCGTTCCAAAGGATGGTTATCTCGTTTAAGAAGTTATCCTGTCGAGGATACATTCGTAAAGAGAGCTCTAGTTCGTGATCTCTCAAGGATCACGAAGGATCGTAATGGAGTTTTAAACGGTCTTTGGAGGTGTAGGTACTCTAAAGGCAACGGATCGTTGATCCTTTTTCTCTCTTCTTTTACCTTATACTTCGGCTTTCGTTTGATACGCTAAAGAAGAAAGGGAAGAAGAGATAGTCCAGACGTATTCCATCCAATGGGGGAAATGCCTCGAGGCATTTCTACATCACTGATTCATCTTTTGCTTCCTCTGTTCCCTTCGTTTTACATCGAGGCGTCGATCTTAGAAGGAGTTCTTACCCTGGGGCCATAAGGAACTTCGATCGAAACGTTTGCCCTTTTCGAAAGGATAGACTAGTGATTTTCCCGTCAACGAGGAACACAATATTTGATCTTTCTTGCGAGAAATTCGTTAGGTAAAAAAAAAAAAAAACAAAAAGAGAGAAAAGAAGAAGAAAGAAAGAAGAGATAAAGACCGAGAGAGAGAGAGAGAGAGAGGGAGAGAGGGTGAAAAGAAAAAGAAAAGAAATACGGATTCAATTGCAGAATATAGAAGAAAAAATTGTGGATAGGAAACGTTTCGTTTTTTTCTTCTTCTTCTTCTTCTTCTAATTTTTCTTTCTTCCTTTTTCTTTTCGTTGCGAATGACAATGAAGGAAGATTTATCTTTAACGATCCCGCGGTATTTGGTTGTAACGAGGGCAACACCAGAGTTTCCCTAAAATTTTCGATGGTTCGAGGAAGAAGTTGCCTTGCGATGCACGCCGCGCTCTTGCCGTTGCCTAATGACAGCAGCTTCTATAATTTGGAGTTTTTGAACGAACGGCTAAATTACCGGCGAACCAAGGGATTACTGTTATTACACGCGGCCGCGGACTCAGTCGAAAGCTGATTATACTTTAGTCAGTCTCTCTCTTGATCTTGACTCTCGTTCGACTGTCAGCTTCGCTCTCGTTCGCCCTTCTCGATCTTACAAGGGACGACGGCACGAGAAACGACGAGGGCCCTTAACTTTAATTCCAATTTTCTGTGATCGTCGAAACGATTCGTTAATCTACCTTGCAAATACTATTTTCTTTAATTTCCTTTTTCCTATCACTCCACCCTCTCCTCTCCCCTCCCCTCCTTCATGCCCCCCTCCCCCTAACCCCATCCTCGACTACCTACTCCCGCTTTCTTCTCCATCGATGTTCCAATCTTTATCCTTTAAATTATCAATTTTATTATCATTTTACGTCGCACGTACTTTAACTTCGATTAAAGTCGGACATATTGAAATTTATCATATTTCCATTGAAAATATCTTTTCGCGATCGATCACGTCGTCCAATCCCATGCATTTGTCCATTTAAATCTTTTTCTTTCTGAAATTTCTTCAATATCCTAATGGATACATAGATAAACATAATTTTCCGGTTAATTTCGAAGGGTTTTAAGGTTCCAATGAGCCAATTGAAATTGTATATCTATCGTTGGATGGTATTTCGAGTCATTAAAACGAGAGAGCACTTAAAACTCTTGAGGCGCAGCGTAGTAGCCCGATCATTCTCGTTCCATGGACGCGCGGTCGACCACGTTTTGGCTGATTAGTTCTTAAGTAATTGCCGTGCATCCTTATGACCTTATAACGTGAGTTTATAGCCTTGTAATGAACCTGCTTCCAAAGACGTTAGCCTCGCTTAAACCGAACTTGCTGCTGTTATACGCTTACCATAAGATACATATTACGGTTCGCCGTGCTCATATCGATTTTCAAAAAAAAAAAAAATAAAAAAAAAAAAATAAAATAAATAAAAAAATAAAATCGTTCACTGTCGCCAACCGCCGATGGCGTTACGCAAAATGATCTTGTACCCATTGTTGTTATTATTATTATTATTATTATTATTATTATTATTATTATTATTATTATTATTATTTTAATTATATTATCTCGAAGGAGCAAGCGATCATTCATGTACATAATTGTTTACGATCGGTGACACTTTTTTTTTTCATTTATTTCTTTCTTTCTTTTCTTTTTTCCCTTTTCCCTCTTTTTTGCTTACTTCTCCTCGGCCCACTTTTTTTGTTTTCCTTTTTCTTTCTCTCTCTCTCTCTCTTTTCTTTGTTACTCTCTCAAAAGAAGAAAAAAAAAAAAATGAAAAAATGAAAGAAGAAAAAAGAAAAAAGAAAAAAGAAAAAAGAGGAAGAAAAGAAAGGAAGAAAAAAAAATATGTCGCAGGAAGGTACGAGAGGAGAAGAATTTCATTCTCGGTATTAATCGAGGATATAATTTACCTACTCTTTCCACGTTGCAACGTTGCAGCCTGTAATTTAATAGACTCGC